GGGGACCATAGGGCCTCCCGCACATTTTCAGATCGGACCGTCCCCACCCGTGTTTCCAAAGTCCCCCAGGCCTCCAAGATCTCTAGCCCGGCGCTGAGTGTCCCTGTGTCAGATCCCGAAGGGGACGGAAGTCCCCCGTGTCAGCACTTCGTGGCTGTTGAGGTGATAGCACGCGATAACAGGTGGGGTTCTGTTAAAAGGGATTAAAGCATCGGACCGATCCCTAGTTTTGAAGCCCCTGGTCCATCCCGCCGTCTGTACTCAGCCCACAAGGCGGCGTCCCTAAGCTGCAGCAGCACCTGTCTAACCACCGGCTCCCGTAGGGCTGGGGCCGCGGCGTTAGTGGGGCTCAGCGCGGGTCATCCCAGCCTCAAGGATGCTGCCGGGAAAGCGGGAAGCAATCAGCTTATTGCCAGGTGGGGTGGGGGTGAAGGGGGAAGAGGCAGGGCCCGCAAGCCAGGAAGGGAGTGGGAGTATCATGGGCTGTTACTGAGGAATTGCACGCGCACCAGTGACAACTCGCGTGTACGTGCTCCGTAGTTAGCCTGGGGCCACATACTTCATCCCCCGATGTCTTAGACTGAGCATTTACCTCTTCTCGGTGTGCTCAGGTGGGCCGACATGACGTACTGAGTCAGGAAAGAATCAAATCCAGGTGCTGGGGCTGCGGGAGCCCGGGCCCCTTCTAGAGCCCAAGGCAGCCTGTGCGTGGTGAGGTGCAAGCACGCATCAGGGGGACACCTGAGCTGAGGTAGGCTCATGGGAGACCTGCTTGCTCAGATGCTCCGGGGGCAGGAAAAGGCTTTAGAGAGGTGGTTCTTGGCTCTGGTTCCAGCTCAGAAATACTGGAGGAGATTTTTCTAAGTCTCACAAGCCGATCTCTATGCTCACCTACCTCCGGGGATTCTGATTTCATTGGTCTGGGAGGCTGGGAGCAGAATTTTTTAAAAGCATCTTGGGGAGGGGGTGGTGCAGTGTGCAGCCCAGGTCAGCATCACTGCGTGAGGGGTCCCGCATGGGCCCATCCTTGCCTCCGTGTCCCCTTACGTCTTCATCTTCCCAGACTAAGAGTGAAGCTAGGCCCTCACCCACGACCTCATTCCGCAGAAGCAGCTTAAACACCGCAATATGCAAACCTGGAGCACCTGTTCCCAAGAACCTAGCGGCCACTCTGCATTTTCTGATGTTCACAAACAGAGAAGCTGGTAAGGGTGAGCGCAAAACAGAGAAAAACACCCAGGCGAACGGCAGTATGTTGTCCCCAGGAGCCTGACTGGTTGCTTGGGCAAAAATCCTGCTGCTCAGATTATTCCTTAGAAGTAGTCAACCCTAAACTTGGTTCCAAATGGATTAGCTCAGAACTCCAAATGAAAATGCAGGGACATTTTAGAAAAGAGTATTTAAGCATAACTCCCCAAACATGAGAGACTCCTAACTCTGGGAAACGAACAAGGGGTACTGGAAGGGGAGGAGGGCGGGGGGATGGGGTGACTGGTGATGGGCACTGACGGGATGAGCACTGGATGTTACGCTGTATGTTGGCAAATTGGACTCCAATAAAAAATATACAATAAATAAATAAATAAATAAATAAGCAAACAAACAAACGAATATCCCAGGTCAGCAAGCCTGGAGCAGCAAAACTGATTATCCTGCCATAATTAATACATAAATGCATACATACGTACATACACACAGCAGGTGGTGGGAACATTTCCCATCCAGTGGACCAGTCCCTTAGAGCAACAACCCCTACCCCATCCCACTGCAGCCCTGTGTGCAGTGTCCACGTACACAGATGACAGGTAACTAACCTGTATTTAGAGGAGACTGAGGCCCAGGAGGAAAGCACACACCCGGCTATCACCCGCACAACAGAAATGGCTTGATGGGACCCAACTGACCTCACTGGGCAGCCTGGGCTCCTTCCCGGACGTGGGCACCGATTCAGACATAGGACTTCTAGAGACTTGTCATATCTAATCTAATGGAAAGGCACAGAACATTTTTAACCCAACAGCAGATAATTGTAATGAAATGATTCTGGCCAAGAGGGCCCATTTGTAATAATGAATTCAAATCAGATTCATAGAAGCTATAATTCAGCCATAGTGAACACCACCTTCATTTCCCATATCATCTCTCTTCCAAGAAGGCAAAATTACTCAATATTCAGATAATTATTTTTACTTTTCAAGTAGCCCTGTGAAGTAGTTATGAGGAAGATAATATTGCCTCACTTATATAAAATGAGTTTTATCCACGTTCGAGACTTCAGTGTCATCTCCGGCACATCACTTCCTAACGTCCCTCAATGCAATCAAAGACCTATCAAAACAAAACTGATATCTCCAAGGAAGGACACCATCCTTCTCTAAGCCCTGCAATTTCTCACTGGAAAACTCAAACCAGGACCCGGCTTCCTCCACTCCTTTGCTTTTTCTACGAGGTCTCGGGCCTCCTGTGTGACTTCATTCAGGATTTAGAGACAGACTTGAGAGATTTTGATCCGAGGCAGCCACACATTCGAAAAGACTTTCTGCGGCTGGTGGGCCTGGGAAGCATTCAATTTTTTTGGCACACCCTGCACACTTGATGCATTTAGAACACTAAATTTCCAAACACTGGATTCCCAGGGGAATATCTTTAAGGAGACTGAAGTGTGACCATCCTTAAGAATCACAGTCTTTGAAAAAAAAAAGAAAAATACAACGCAGAATAAAACATGATATATTTATCTGGGGGTTAAGGCTAAGGATTTCCCGAGAAGCCAAGACTCTCCCTCTGAGTCCTGACAAATAAGTTTTTCATTGTCAGAGGCACACAGCTGTCAGTCAACAAACCAGAGATGCACACAAAACTAGAGAGACTGGAACCCCCAGAAAGCTGCGGGACATTCGTATGCTGTTCTAGGAAACCCTGTGACAGGAGTGAAAGCTAAACCTTAAGAAAACCAGAAATTACCAGGAATTCCATGATAAAGGCAAAAAAAAGGGAGAACAAATTACAGGCAAAAGCACCTACAATGGAATCACCTGATAAAAACAAAGACTCAACTAGTAAGAGAGAAGAACACAAGAGGTTAAAAAAAAAGGAGGGGAGGAATATAAAGAGATTAAAATGTGGACAATGTGCTGAATCCCTCTATTTCAGAGCAAATTCTACAAAGGAGCAGAGGCAAAACCAGCACAGACCGTGTTTACTTTTTTAAAAATAAAAGCGTGCAATCAGGTAACAGATAACAGTTATCCTCGCACATGTAAGGATTTTTTTCCCCCACAAAGCACAAAAAGCAACTATTCAGCTTTTCCCGTTTTTATTCCCATTCCCATTACCAAGCCCAGCTGCTGAACATTTGAATTGAAGATCATGAAACCAGGCCAGCAGCTAATAAAAAAAAAAAAAAAAAAAAGGTAGAGCAGAGCTGGCCCTCTGCTGGTGGCATTGTCCCACTGCAGAAAGCAGAAAGCAGAAAGCTGGAGTTTTTTAAGTTTCTGCTTTAACTTTCGGGGTCGGGCATGGGACAGAAGGTTTGGAAGGTTAGGCAAGGAGGCCTTATCTGGTGCTGGGCCTCTCTGCCCCCAGGACGAGGTTAGGAGATAAAGACAGGTGTGTGCAGCCTCTCACACCTGCCAGCGTTCACCAGCATTTCCTTGGTGAACCTGCGCCGCAGCCCGGGACCGCATCTAACTTGGAGCCCACGGGTCTGCTGCTGATGTGCATCCCGTAAGTCGGACCTCGGGGAGTGGGCTCCAGAAACTTCCTGAGGCAGCGAGTTAGACGTATGGCACCCGAGTCTGGGACAGGCTGAGGAGTGCCCATAGGACCGGGAGAGAGGGTCTCCCCTCCCGCCGTCCCTAGCGCTCCTTGTACCCTCTCCTTCCCGGGCCCCTGAGCACCAGCAGACACATCTGTTGAAACCTGTCCTCTTTCTCAAAAGCAGCAGCAGCCAAGAATCTCCCAAAGTGCCCAGAATCCCACCTTAGCTTGGGAAAGAACAGCCAGTGTGTCCCAAAAGGCCCTTCTTTCCTTCCCCAGGACGTGGCTCGTCCAGATAACAGAGAGTCCAACCAGAGGAGCCGAAAGAACAGGAAGGAAGCCCCATCCCCAGCCGTTCCTCGGAGAAGCCGGGCTTCTTGGCTGCAGAATCTGGGACAGCATGTTTTATTTTCCCCATAACCATCAAAGTCATAGACAGGGCAAACGCATTCAGCCTGTGTACACTGCGAGCCAGAGTTAAGCTGGGACGTCCCTGAATCTGTCTCCTAGGACCAGAACTGCCTCATTAAAGGGATAAAAGATGATATCTGCTGAGCTGGTGGAAAGTGGTGGCTGCATTCTTATTAAAGTCTCTGCTGCAGCGGGCCCAGTCCCCAAAGGTTCATATTCCAAGAATCTCCACCCCTCTTCCTGGAGCCTGTAAGTGATTCTCTGTAACTCATTAAGGTAAAACAAAACGCTTTCTCTTGTGCCTTTTTCCACACAGGAGTGATGTCCTGGTGGCAAAAGCTTGGCCCGCGCCTGCAAAGACGAAACTGCCCTCATCATTCGAAAGAGGGGTCCCAGGAGCACCGGGCGCCGGACAGGGCCGGCTGGGTCTTGAGCAGACTCACAAGGGGGGGACCCGGCACTTGCAGGGCCTCCCTGGCTGGAGCAAAAGCCACCCCCACGGGGAAGACGGACGACCTGGCCTCCTCTGGACCTTCGGGCCTGCAGGGGGGGCCCCTCCCGGAGCGCCCCGTGGAGGCAGGTGAGCGAGCCCAGGCTGCAATCACAGGGCACTGGAGCTGTCACCTGGGAGCCAGGGCAAGAGTGAATCTCGCCGTGTCATCACCGCCCCCCCACCCCGCCCGGGGGATGCGCGAGCCCCAAGCATGGGCCTGGGTGTCCCGCATCGGAGCCCGGGCCTCCCTGGCCACAGCCAGGGACGAGCCCTGGAGGGGGCAGCTGTGCGGCCCCAGGTCACCCCCAGGTCACCCCCCCGAAGTGCAGCTCCCTACCTGAGGGTGGCGCTCTCCCCCTGCCGGACCGTCACGTTGTCCATGGCTTTGGGGAAGGTGGCATCTCCGCTGCGCACGGGCACTCCTGTGGGCACAAGGAACAGCAGCCTGAGAGACACGACCACGAGGCACTTCCAGGGCAGGAGCAGGTGCCCACAGACCCCCATCCTCGACGGCCGCGGCTTCCCGGGGCTCCGGCGGCGGCGGCGGCGCGGTCCTCGCCCCCCACCCGGGCGGGCGCGCGGCGGGAGGCGCGGGGCGCGGGGGGCGCGCGGGGCGCGGGGGGAGCCCCAGGCCGACCCGGGCGGCGCGGAGGCGAGTCCGGGCTGTGCGCAGCCTCCGGGTCCTCCCGAGATCCTGCCCCAGCTCTGCAGCCCGGCGGAGCCAGGTGCCCCTCCTGCCTCCGAAAGGAGGTTTCCCGGCGCTCCCCTGGGGCGCGGGCGGGGGCGGGCGCGGGGGCGCGGGGAGGGGGGTCAGCGGCCGCCGCCCCTCCTCTGCCTCTGCCTCTGCCTCTGCCTCCGCCTCTGCCTCTGCCTCCGAGGCGCGGCTGGGAGACGCGGCGGGGCGCGTCCTGCGGAGGTCTCGGCACCAAAAGTTTGCAGCCCGGAGGGAGGCGCGAGGCAGGTGTCTGGGCGGCAGAGGTGCCCGCCGGCTGCCGCTCCGCCGACGGGAGGGGGCGTTCCGGAGCCCGCGCGCGCACGGACGGGTCGGGGCCGGCCCGGGGCTCGAACCCGCCGCCCCGAGGCGCCCGAAGTTCCGGCGCCCGCCGGCGCCCTGCGTCCTCACCGCAGCGCGGGCGGCCACTGCCGGCCTCCCCGCCCCGCGCCAGCCCGCCCAGCGCCGCCCGGCCCAGGCTGCGGCCGCACGGGGAGCGGAGCGCGCCCCCCCCCGCCTCCGGGGACGCGGGCGGGACGCGGGGACGCGCGGATGGCTCGGCGGCCGCCCCCGGGCTGCGCTCCCCCTCCCGGAGCCGCCCCGACGCGCGGGCCCGGCCCCGGGTTGTCATGGCAGCGGCGGGGCGGTCAGCGCCGCTCTCCCCTCTCCCCGGGCCGCGGCGGGCGGGGCTCCCGGGGCGCTCCTGGGGCGCGGGGCGCGCCTTAACCCCTGCGGCGCCGCGGCCACCGGGCTGCTCCGCCGAGGTGGGGGGGAGCCCGCGCCACCCCCACCCCCACCCCCACCCCCACCCCGGCAGCCGGGAGGATGCCCCGCCCCTCCGGGTGGGGGGGGCGCAGATGGCAAAGGGGCGCCCGCACCTGTCCTCCTGTCCTCCCGCACACGTCCTCCCGCACCTGTCCTCCCGCATCTGTCCTCCTGCACCTCACCTCTGCACCTGTCCTCCTGCACCTCACTTCTAGCACTTGTCCCCCCGCACCTGACCTCCGCACCTGACCTCCTGCACTCCTCCTCCTGCGCCCGTCCTCCTGAACCTGTCCCCCTGCACCTCACCTCCGCACCTGAGTTCCGCACCTGTCCTCCTGCACCCGTCCTCCTGCACCTCACTTCCGCACCTGTCCTCCGCACCTGACCTCCGCACCTGACCTCCTGCACTCGTCCTCCTGCGCCCGTCCTCCTGAACCTGTCCCCCTGCACCTCACCTCCGCACCTCACCTCCGCACCTGAGTTCCGCACCTGTCCTCCGCACCTGTCCTCCTGCACCCGTCCTCCTGCACCTCACTTCCGCACCTGTCCTCCCGCAACTGTCCTCCGCACCTGTCCCCCGCACCGGACCTCCTGCACCTGTCCTCCTGCACCTGACCTCCGCACCTGCCCTCCACATCTGTTCTCCTGTACCTGACCTCCACACCAGTCCTCTGCACCTGTCCTCCCGGTGTCCCTCGCAGGTCGCCAGGCCCCGCCTGTAAAGCTGAACTTCCCCCCCCCCCCAGGCACCTGAGCCGCGCACACGCGCGTCCCTTTGGCACCTGCCCAGCGACGGCCCCATGGCCAGGCTCCCCCCAGGGCTCTGGAGGAAAGAAGCAGGGCGCTCTCTGCCCCGGGTGCCCCACCTTGGAGCTGCTGGGCGGTGGACACTTTGTGTCTCCCCCCAACACTGGCAAATCTGGGTTTCCTCCTACCGCACCACATACAGAATAGTCCCCAACCGACTCCGTGCGAGTCCTGAGTATCCTTTTTATTAAAAAAAAAAAAAAAAAAAAAAGCAAGAGGTTGGACAAACAAAACACTTGGAGAACCTAAAAAATGTTAGGGTTGATTTGCCCAGACTCCACCCATGGCTTCATGCCCAGAGCACCACGAAGGGGCACCACAGGGCGCGGGGAGGGGGCCTGGGCCCCGGGGGTCCCCCCAAGGCCGGCCCATCGGGTTCTCCCGGTTCTCAGCACGGAGCCCCGCCTCTCCTTGGGCCCTTCCTGTGGCTTCTCTCCTGTCCCTTCTGCCACAAGCCACCCCACACCTGGCCAAAGCACGGCTTATCCCCCTACATCATGATTTAATGGTCACTCTGCAATTTCCTTCACTGTATTCTTTCTCAGTTCCTCTTGTTAAATTAGGCTGGGCTCTGAACAATGAAATTTAATTCAAAAATAAGCTTTAACTTCTTATTCATTACTTCAGTCGCTTTAAGGCTACAAAGGCACCCTCCCCGCTCTCCCTCATGGGAGACTGAGCGCTCGTACACACGGCCCCGTCTTCTCCCATAAAATGGGGAGTCCACGTGTGTGGTTAGGTCTAAAGTTTTTAATGAGAGCATCACACCTCAGGAAGAAAGAATATTTGTCACTAGTCATGCCATGTGTGCTTTATCTCTTTTAATATAGGAAAAAACATGCATCGCCCCTTTCCAGAAGAGAGAGATTAACAAAGACAGGCCCTGGGCAGCACGCGCATCCTGAGCTCATGGGCTACGAGGACGGGAGGAGAGAAATGCCTGGAAGAGAGGCTCAGGCCTCAGAGAGCAGCCCAACTACTTATTTTGGAACCACCTGCCAGTTTTAATGACACACATCTTTCCTTAAGATGTGAGTGGACCTGGGTTTTCTGTATACACGTTGTGCCTGATCCTCTAAACTCTGAGATGCTTTTATCCATCATCACCAGCCTGGAAAGGCTTTTTTTTTTTTTTTCCAGTGTTTTAACCTGAGTGAAGCTGAGAATGTGAGGCTGTGCTGGTGATTTCCTTCAGTTACAGGGGTTTGTGTCTTGAGCCCTGGGCGATGGTGGCATGGGGTTGGGTCAGCCTGCCCCATGAGTTACATAGCCCCCGTCCCTTGGTTGCCATGGGCTCAGATGACATTCCCTCCTCCTCGTGCACCTCGTGCACCTCAGGAGATGCACATGGAGCAGCTGCAAAGTGCTAACTCAGTCTATAAAGGATTGCTTGAAATGGGAAAAGTTACTGGGGTAGAAGTCCAACTGGGAGAAGAACAGAAGGGACAAGAAAATAAGAGTAGCAGAGGTGGGTTGAAGCAACACATTATATATTCTAGATAATAAGTAATAAATCTTTCTTTTGAGGAAGGGATAAGTATCTATTTTGGGGGGGGGGGGCTGATGCCCCTCAGGTATAAGTATCTGGAGTCCAGAAAACAGAGCCTATTGTGTGTATTTTCTTCTAGTAAGCTGGCTTCCTAGTTCAATATTTGTGAGCAACTAAATGACTGAACTCAAGGACTGGCAAGTCAGAGAAATAGCTGCAGAAGTCTAACTTTTACGTTAATCTTTGCCAGCCTATGGTTTTGTGGGGGAGACGTCATTCATGTGTAAGGCTAGGGACCAGTATCCCATTTATAGACTAGAAATCCAAACCAGTTTGGAATGGCAAAGAGAACCGGGGGCGAGGTTCACAATGAGCCAGGACTGAAATGGTTTATACTGGGGATTTTCTAAGGAATGTTTGGTTGAGAACCATGATGGGGAGACTCCCAGTTTAACCCCTTTGGGGCATATATCCACACATATAAAGACAAATTATCTGAGGACAAAGTAAGAGAGCTAAGAACATTGGTTCCAAAGTTGGATTGTCTCTTCGGATCCTGACTCTTCAACCCTTCAGCTGGGTGACTGGTACCTAACAATACCTATCTCAGGGGGGTTTGGGGGTGTCTTGAAATGTCCCCAAGATTTTGTTTTGAGGTCTGATATGTGGACAGACACAGAGACAGCTTCCGTGAAAGAAGAGTTGGTTACTTCCTCCCAAGAGGAAGTGCCCTGCAGAGCCACAGGGGGAAGCGGGGGCAGGGGTAGGGGGTCAAGAAGCAGAAGAAGCAAGCAAGGTGAGGCTGGGTAGGCAAACTTGAGCAAGCTTAGGATCAGATTGTTTGAGTGATTTTGGCAGGTCCTGGGCTGCGTGGTGGTCTCTAGTGCTCCTGGGGTGAGTTGGGGCAGAGGAAATAGCTTGTGTGTGACCCTTGGATAAAGGAGGCGGTTGGGGGATGTGAGCTCTTGATTGGTTTGCCTGCGAAACGCATGCTAAAGACAAGTTGCTTGCCAACTCTAGGAATTAGCTTACCTTGGGGGAGGGGGCAATCCCTCCAGAATTAGAAGCCTCTGAGATGTCAAAACATCATAAAATACAGAAAAATTTTAAGACATGATTAATACAAGGTGGCAATTAATGAGGCGATGTGTTACACACATCGCCAAAGAACTCTGCACATTGGAAGCATTTCATAATCATAGATTATGATTATATAACAGAAGTCCCTGTGATAACAACTTGTGACGTGTAAAAAGATATGAGTGAAAGACTGTAAATGCCCCATGTCCAAACTCGAGCTTTGATTCAGATCTACAGACATCTTGATATTTGGTGTGATTTATAATAGAAAAGGCATAGGTGGATTCAATGCAGTGTAATAACTTCAGAAAACTTAGAGCAGGGAGGTGACATGAACTGACTGAGACTTATAAAATGTGGTCGTCATGTAAAGGGTGGTTTGCAAGGGTACGGCGGGAAACGGAGATTTTCAAGAGTGGAACAGGAAAGAATTGGTGACGGTAGCAATGATGATGGCGAAAAATAGAAACGTAAGGGGCGTGTCTTGGATGTACAGCGTTTAGGACTCTCTGGAAGTTTGGGTGTTAGAATCGAGGAAGATAAAGGGGCTGAGGATGACTCCTGAGTTTGGCTGGTAACCGGGTGGTACCATTACCTGTGATGGTCATGTCTCCAGGAGGACTAGATTTTGAGAAGCAGAAGTCGGAAGAG